GCAACGCCGTGCCGATAGTCCACTTGTACTTCTCAGCCCCCAGCCCTCCATTCATCCCCTCTTCTACGCGCAAACGAAGATCACATACTTCGCTACGAGGGGTGTCTTTATGTCGATACAACTATGTGTCTGCAGACTCCGTATCCTCCAGGCTAAATATGTTCTCTTTTCACAGCACGTCAGAGTGCGAGGTACAATTAGTCCCGCAGGGGTCGCTGGCCAGAAAGTGTATGAATTCCACGCAACAAGGAGGGACATGACACCGACGAGCCCACCTCATCTCTGTTGCTGGCGGCTTATCTCCCTTCAGCTGGCTTGTTCACCGTGCCCCGTCTACCCCTCGGCCCCATCAACGGCCGGTGCCTACTGTTAGAAAGGCAGGCAGGCAACTCCTTTCTCCGCCAACCGGCCTACTGGCCTCCCGGCAAGGAACTTGGATCTTGAGCCAAGGCACCTAGCCGGGCTACGAGGCAATCAGGGACCTCAGCAATGGTAGTATGTTCCCTGTCTTGCGTTAGTACATTGGGTCGCCGCGCACACTCTCCGCCTCCTCCTCCTCCGCCCAATGTCGCGCAAGCCCGACGGCCCAAAATCCCTAGCGTTGCTGCAAAGAACCGGCATCATGTACTCTTGGGGCTCGCCGTTGGGAAGAGGCTGCAAAAGCTGCAAAGGCTCGGACACACTTACACGCTTACCAACGGACGCAAAGACGCAGAGTCTGACATCTCATTGCTGCGCTCCGACCTCGCCTGACCTGCATCTATCAAGCACAGACTTCATGTGAGTAATTAGCTGCCAGACAAACCCCAGACAACGCCTAGTCCATGGGTACCGCTGTAAGCGGCCGTCTGCTCTCTTGGCCGGATCGAATCCTGCCCTATGTGCCGTTCCTTCTCGGCGACGGCGCAACGAGGTAGACGCGTGAGTGTACGTGTGTTATGCACGCTCGCGGCTTGCGCTTTGTTTGTCTCGTCGTCACGAGCGATTTTTCATATTCCTTCAACCTCGTCGAGTCATCTCCCAATTCTGGCCTCTTTTGGTGTCGTGGTTTGATGGCTATGTCAAGGATGGCGTGTGTATGGTATTGTGTGTGACTCGGGTGTACCTGGTCGGTTCCTCGGACCACAGTGCTAGATATTGGCGAACGGCTTTCTCCTTTGCCCCCCCCCCCCTGGCCCTATCCAAAAGGACAGGCGTGTATACACACCCCCTTTGGCTCTCGCTCGCGCGCAGGTTTGCGTAACCGGGATCAACCCAATCCCAGGTCCCCATGAGCGTTGATTGCGGAGAGGGGCCAACCGAAGCCCGGACACCACTCATGGGCTCATCCCTTCCCCTTCTCTCTTTCTCTCGTTCGTTTTTGGCCCGCCGCCGCGCGAAAAAAAGGTGCAGGTCACTCGTCGAGTAAGAGGAGAGAACTGAGGTATACGGAGAGAGACAGCACGAGAGAGCTAGCGCCAAGGGTCACCGAAAGTCTTCCTCTCGACAAACGAGTTGGCGGCAAGGAGGGCCTGTCAAAGGGAACTCGAAGTTTCCCTCTCGTCCACCCGTCCTCGACCCCAAAATGTACCTAGCTTGAACCCGGTTCGCCTCGAACGGCGCCTGTTTTCCTTCTCTCCCCTGGGCTGGCTGCCCCTCTCCCCTCCTCCCCTCTTCGCCTCCTCCCGCACCGCAGCACACCGCACACGCCATACAAAACCAGCCATACACCAGTGACCAGACACGGGAGACATATCGATAGAGAGCTATGTGAGAATCGAGCAATCGTGCCTTTCAGGTTTAGTGGACCCCGTTGTAAAATTTGAATATTGCAGATCTGGGAACAAGTTCCTTTGTTTCTATTGTGGTGTTGTATTGAAGCTCTCGTTTCCTCCCCTCGAATTCCGTACTTGTTGGAAAAAAAATGTTTTCTTCCCTCGTGATTCACCCCTCGAGAGTCCCCTTTGTTCTTCTTTCTTTGTTCATGAGGGGAAGGAGTGGCGCAGATGGGGGGGGGGGGGGCGAGGGGGGCAGTTCAGGTTGGTTCGGTTGGTTTCCTCCTTTGTGTTGGTTCGTTTTCCAAGTACCGAAGACGCCAGCCGCAGGCGCAAAGTAGGAACAAAGAGAACAGAAACCATGGAAAACAAGAAGCGAAGCGTCTCTAGTTTGCTTGTTATTTCTGGACTGGGACCATGTCAACTAACGCATTTTTTTTTTTTTGGACACTTGTCCGCTTGTTACGTTTGACTCTTTTCTCTATTTCTGCCGGCGCTTGAGTTTGAAGGGATGATACCAAGCTGTCATACGAACGAGCCAAGACCAAACTTGAAGATTTTTGGAAACAGTTTTTTACTCGTAAAGAATAGGTACTTTGATGATCAGGGAAAAAAGAAAAAAGAAAAGAAAAGAAAGGAAGACTGGCAAACCATTGACAAAGGTACCTCGCCTACCGTAATCAGAACTCGGACTAAGAAGAACAATTTCATACTCTCACACACACAAGTCACACCGGCAGTTCTACCACTTACTCTGGGCCTCATCTGGCAAATACCCTTCCCGGAACCCGAAAAAAAAAGTCCCTAATAGCGCCGCCGCCAATTTTACACTTTTTTGAACCAAAACCACCACCACCGCGCAAAAACCCGTTCGTTACGTGCCGTGCCATTGCCGCCGCCGCCGGCCGGCCGCCGCGTGCCATGAAGTGGAAACCTACCTTAAACTGTTAAATACTTAACTTGCCTTTCGGTTTCCTCACCTCCCTTCCCGTAATTAAAAAAAAAAAAAAAAAAAAAAGGAGCCTAAAAAGGCGCGGCCGCGGACCGGCGGCCGAAACGGCTGCCGGGTGGTTTGTCTTGCCTTGCCTTCCCATTTCCCCCCTTCCCCATGCTGATGCCGCTATTCTCCGTGTGCCTGGGTTCTGGGGAGGAGGAGGAGGGGGCAAGAGGGTAGAGAATGAGGCTTTGGTTGTAGGAAAGGACGCAGGCTTAGGTTCCGGGTTGGACAGCATCGGCGGTCCGGCCCCCAAAAACTCTTTTTTCTTTTGGTATGCGTACAGCAAACAATGTGTTTTCCTTACTTCTTTTCCTATTCTTCTTCTTCTTCTTCTTTTTTCTTTCTCACGTGTACTGATGAGTCCGAGTGAGGGGTCATTGGAAGTGAAAGGAGGGGAAGAAAGTAGGCACGTACTGCGTACCTTACCTTGGGTGAGGTAAACTCGGGCGGCGGCACCGGCGGCGGCGGCGGCAACAAAGCGGTCGGTCACCTTTCCCTTTTCCCCGTTCCATTTCCCCTTACCCTTCTTCTCCCCTCCCTGCTTTAGGTAGGAGGGTTCCCGTCACTAATGAGAAAAAAGAAAAAAAAAAACATCAGTGCTGAAAAAAGGTTCCCCCATCCCCCTCTCCCCCTCCCATCCATCCGGCGGGCGAACGCACGTTTATCGATATCAGAAGAAGCTTTATTCTGATATTAAAGACGGGAAAACCACTGGTCTCGAACTCCTAATCTCCCTCTCTTTCGCTGCTAAAGCGGAAGATCTGTCCGTGCCCCCCCCCCCCCAAAACGTTAGTTGCCTTAGTTGTTTCTTTCCCTTGCCTTGTCTTTTTTTTTTTTTTTTTTTTTTCGCCCTTTCAACCGTCGGATCAATATGACGTGTCACATACAGATGAGGTGGGACGCATTTTTTTTGTTGTTCTCGGGATTACGGACTTGGAGACAGCGAGTAACGACAGCAAACAGGCAAAGATATTCACCGAACAATGTTGAAGCTTTGGCACAAGACCTTGTTTTTTTTCCTCCTTGCTTTGTTCTTTTACTCATAAGACCATTTACAAGCAAGAAAGGGAAGAAGAAACACCATTAACAATAGTGACAATGCTACGCTTGGCTTTTTAAGAATGTGTTTTGTTTCATTACCTTCTTCCCAAACCGCACACCACACCTTGACCGGGGGGGGGGGGGGGTTTGCTAATGTGAGAGAATGGAGAACATGACAATCATGAGTAGATAGAATCGTTGGAATGAAGTAGAAGAAAATAACCTCGGTATTTTTTTTGTAGCCCTCGCAGTGCTGCCGACTTCTGACTTCTGCAGAAAAGAAAAAGAAAACACAACGTGACGAGGGGGTGGGAGGGAAGACAATAAGAAGCGCCCAATTCAAGTGGCATGTAGATAAAAATGATGAGGTTATTGAGTGATATCTTTGCCGCCCAGTTCCTTTGCATCGCTTGCGCGATTTCGCCTTCGTAATACTCTCTCAACGTTTGGGGTACTAGTAAAGATAAGATAATAAAATAAAGCAGGCAGCGGTTTTGACATAAGAATGCGACACTCCAGCATGTGTGGCGTGTCGAATAATGGGTACTAAAAATGAGTAAAAGGCAGGACAGATAATCAAAAACAGACGTGTGCCGTGAGGCAGACCAATCTTAACCCTTTCCGTTCCTTTGGGAAATGACTGTGTACGAAAAGAAAAGGTGTAGAACAAAGCAAATAAGAATGCAAGGACCAGTTTCCCGGATCTCGGGAAACTCGCGTGCGTGGTATGCTCAAGCAAAAAACCTCCCACCATTTCCCAACCTCAGCCAGCCCCCAGCAAACACCAGAAAAGCGAAAATCAAGACGATGCTGACCGTGAAATTTTTCTTGGCTGATCCTGGAAGCCGTTCCCGCCAACTCCCCCTTCCTTCATGAAAACTCGCTTGCTACAGAAGCTCATGCCTGCCCATGCCTGTCGAAGACCGATATGCGTTTTCCATGAACTTTGTAATGTATGCAGCCCGAGTTAAATCGCATAAATCCCTTGCCGTCGTTGCCGCTTTCGCCGGCATCGCTCGCAATGATCGAGGTGAAAGCGTAGTCTCCGAGGTTGTCGTGTCGAGAAAATTTCCAAAGCGAAGAGAGTACCTGGCCAGCAGATCCATTCCTATTTGCGTCGGACTGAGGCGGTCGATATCCGCGGAATAATTAGGTTCCCCCAGAACACAAAAGATCACGCTCTCCTCCCCTCCATGCGCCCCACATCTTCACTTCCTAGCCGGTGGACGGTTCAGCCTTCCCAACATGTTCCTGTCAATGTCATTTGGAGTCGTGTCCACCAAGTTATTCAGGCTCATGACCGAGCTCGAGGATGCTGCTGGGGTAGAGGAATTGCTTTGTCGCTGGGTCGCTGCCGCGGCTCGCTCGTCTCCCGTCTGTGGATGAGGTACCGCCGCCGGCTGTCCAGGACTATGTCTAGCCGGGGGCGCTCTGGGGTCATATCCGGGGTGACCGCCCTGCGAATAGCCTATGTAGCCTCCCGGGCTGCTGTGATTCGAGCTCGAGGCTGGTGAGCGACGTCGAGGATCGTCAGCAGAGTTTGGGTCAGGTGGCGGAGGTCGGAGCTCGTCAACGTCATCGTCCCTCGGCCGCCGCCTTCCACGCTGCGCATCGTATGGCGAGTAGCCGCCCGTCGGGGACGGGAGTGGTTGTTGGTAGTAACCGCCGTTGCCAGGTTGAGGGGGGTAGCCCTGGGAGCCTGGTGGCGGAGGCAGCGAACCCGGGGGCAGAGGCTGCCCGTAAGCACCATAGAGTGGTGTTCCCGGTGGAACACCTCCCTGGATGGCCGAAACGGGCACAAATGCAGTCGAGCTAGACGAAGACACGGGCTGGAATATGCATTCCTGGTTCATCCTGCTGCAGTTTACGCATTTGCCGCCAGGCGCACTCTGGTAGCCGCTGCACCGAATCTGAAGTATTCTTAGTTAGTCTCAAAGAGCTCCTTTGTCGCATCACTCTTGGGGGAATGTACCTTTCTTTTTCTGCAGTATCTGCAAGCTATGGAGGTCCGTTGTCTTGGGGCGGCTTGCTGCATGGGAGGGCCTCCTTGACCGTAGTCATATCTCGGTGCGCCTGGTGGGTAGTCGTATCGTGGACCACCAGGGCCGGGAGGAGGGTAGTCGGCGTAACGACCTGGAGGAGGCGGGCCTTGGCGATTGTGATACTCCTGGTAGTATGGGTCACCATACTGCTGTGGAGGCTGGCGATTTCTGTAGTAGTCGTCCCTTCCATCTGGCGGAGGATAAGTGGGAGATCTAGGGTCTCCCGGGGGTTGCAACGGCGGCAGTTGCGGCGGATGACCACCCGGTTGCGGTGGCGGGTAGCCGTTAACGGAATTCGGGGAGGCGCTGTAGTTGCTGGCGCGCGGATCGGCGCGCGGGTCACCTCGTGGATCACCAGGGTAGGACCTCGGGTAGGCTGGTTGGCCGTAGGCGCCGTGGGGATCCTGAATGGAGGGAAGTGTTACTGGTGCAGCCATGTTGGGTCTGTGGTGTCTGTCGTCGTGGTATCTTGGGTCTTCGGGTGCTCCCACGGGGGGAAGTTGGTGACGACCTTCGTCTTCTCGGTGTGTAGAAGGCGGCCCTCGTCCTTGCTCCTCTGCCATGCTCTGGTTGCGGCGAGTCCACCCGGATGCCGCGACTGAACCTGCACTCTCGTCGCCGCGCGATGCTATCGTGTTGGCGAGCAGTTGGTTGTCGTGAAGTGGTGTTTGGAGTTGGTGGTGTTGTTGAAAGGGGCCCTTGGGGCGAAATGCGATAATGGCCTGCGCGTAAGGTTGGCCTATCCGTCGAACCCTGCTATCAAAAAATTCCGGCCAGGCACGGGAAGGGCAAGAATCATGACCAAGCGGGCTGTGGCGGACAGAAGAGGGCGTGGCCAGCCAAGTTGGTTGACTCGAGAAGCGCAAGCGCACTCAGAATGGTGGCGGTGGTGGGGGGATTTTGGAGTTGAGTACAGATAGCGGGTGTCGTATAAGCCGTCGGAGAGCGCGGGCGCAAGAGGTAGCAGCGGCAGCTCGGCGCGCAAAAGGCAAGTAGTGTGAGATTCGACAACGGGGCGGTACGGATGTGAGGACCGCGTGGCTGGAATGATTAATCTTAAAAGTGGCGGATTTGGCAATGATCCGACTTCCACAATGATGACAGCCGAGCAAACGTGGGTGAATGCGTCTTTGAGTTGTGTCGCTGTTGTCGAGGAATGAAAGTGAGGTCAGGTCGGAATCATCAAACCGAGTAAGTCAGGTACTACTTGGTAGGAGATAATCCCGGTGAGTCGGCGACTTGTGTTGTGCCGGTGAGGGACAGCAATAGCAGCAAGCAGTTGGGTGTGCAGACGGGAGCTTCTTAGGATGAAGGTGTTGATGGTGACGAGAATGATGTTGCGGTCCGTCCCTGTTTTCTCCCTTCTCTTTTTTTTTTTTTTTTTTTTAAACTGGCTTCTTTCTTCCTGTCCCTGTTCAGTTTCTCCTTCCTTGCGACGGCAAAGAACCCAAAAGCGAGAGGGGTTTTGCGATGCTGTTCCGATGAGAAAGAAGGATGGATGAAGATTGTGTGCGCGGTCGGTCGGCAAGTTGTAAAGGGCAGAGAGCCAAGTCAGAAGGACAAGGAGCGACGGGCGCAGACAGCTCGAGGTTGGAAGGTTTGTGAAGGGAAAGAGAGGTAAGAGAGAAAGGTGAGGTAAGGCAGGCGAGGCAGAGCAGGCGCAAGGCGGGTAAAGTAATGTAAAAAGGGTAGGTAAGGCCCAGGTTGGCGGTGGAGTGGCAGGAGAGGGATTGTGCCAAAGATGTAAGAAACCAAGAGAAGAAAGAGGCGCTACTGCGTGAGGTAGAAGTATCCGTACCTTTGACGAGTACCCCGTACCGTCCCTACCGTACTGCTTACTCCGTACCTAGCTACCTTGCTGCGTAGTGTAGACTACCTTGGACCTTGGACCATGGACCATGGGACCAGCATCCGTACTCTGGGAACTTGGGACCTTGGGACTTGGATGGATGGGCATGGAGCGGTGCGGTGCGGTCGGTACGGGGGGTAAGGGTAGGGAAGGGAAGGGGAAGGGAAGGGAGGGAAAAGGGAAAGGGAAGGGGAGGTACCGCAGCATGGTACCCTCTCATCCACTTTCTGGGACGAAAGTGCCAGGGAAGACGCGGTACTGGTACCCATGTCCATGTCCCAAGGATCTCATGGATCCCACCCAAGGTCCCAATGTCCCAAGGTCCCAATGTCCCAAGGTCTCGAGAGTCAAGCCAGGGAAAAACAAAAAAGGCGTGCGCTGAAGTGTGGACACTAGACACGGCCCTGGGTTGGGAACCAAGAGGTAGGGCCGGTACGTACTGTGCGTATTCTGTACATGGGGTGCCAACCTCGAGTATCCTCTCTGTCCAGATACGTATCTTTCCACCTTCGCGCGTGAGATGGGTGTGGCTCACCTTCCTCCTTCCCCTTCCCCCTTCTCCCACCCCTCCCTGGCCCAGGGGGTGTGTGTGTGTGTGGTGGAGGAACAATACCTGATGGATGGATGAAGAGAGCATGGGAACAGGATGGCGGAAGGGCATCCAACAGCAGGGCCACAACAGTAGCAACGGAAGCAGAGTGAGAGACAGCGGCAGGGCGGATATGCGGTCACTCACGCAACAAGCAAACTCACACTGTCTCTTTTTCTCTCGCTCACCTCACGCACTCACTCACTTACTCACTCACACATTCCGTCTCTACCTTTACTCTTACTTGCTTTTGCGCTTCCTCTCACATACTTACTTACTCACACACACACATCTCACATCTCACATTCACTTACTATCAAGGTAGTGCTCAGTATGGAAGGCAGCATAGCGAGGCACGAAAAGACCTCGCACCTATGCACTTCAAATGCCTACACGCCAGATGCGCTAGACGGCCCTGGCGGATGCTGAAGTGTGGTGAGGCAGAGGCAGAGGCAGTGTAAGGCAAGGAAGCGTGCCGCACCGTAACGTCCTCGATAGTCCCCGTTGCCGCTGCGCAAGGAACCGGACGGCATGCGCTTCGAACCTGGATAACATCGCTCAGATGGCCAATCCCTTGGGAAGGGGGGCGGCGTGTTTTTTTCTTCTTCTTTCTTGTTATAATTTTCTTGAGTGCCTTTAGTCTCTTGCCCCCCAAGGTGTTGCTTGGTAGTGAGGCTGGCGATAGTCAAAGGACGGCTGCAGGCACTCGACTCGGTTTCTTTCTTGACTGATGTTGCTGGCCCGAACGGGTCTCTTGGGTACCTTGGATGGCCAGTTGTGTAAGGTACTCGGGCCAAGAGACACGAACACCTTGAGGTACTGGCCGCGAGGAGCCACATCAAAGTTGCAGCCTTGTTGCCGGTCGCTTATTGTCTATTCGAGATTGAGTTGCAGTGCTCCTGTTTTGTCCTGTTCTCAAGTCTTGGTCCAGAGTGCGGTGTGCCATAAATACGGGCGGTTGTATGCGAGATGGAGGTAAAAGGGCAGCCGTTCCTTGACAATACTCCTGGATGCAACCCTGGCCACTCAACCTGGGGAGTTTACCTCTACTGGAAGTCTGGAATTAGGCGGCGCACTGTATCCGTAGAAGATGGGACGGGATATTGGTGGGGAATGGTACGGCTGAGTGACGGCGAGAGCTGGAGAGAGAGGAATCATCCTGAAGCAACCACCCTCAGACAACAGGCACGCTGCCCGGGCAGGGCTCAGAACACGCAGGGTGTAGTACCTCGGGTACCTTGGAAGACGGCAGGGTGCGGTGCGGGTGCGGGTGCGGATAGGTGGTTGGATGATGGGATCTACTGTTGATGGAAGGGTTGGTAACGCGACTTGGGGTGCAGTGAGGTAAGGTAGATGAAGTCTGGAGAACTTCCGATGATGGTGGCGATGACGACAGTATCCGTAACCGGGTGTAGCAGTCCTGAACATGGTAGGGTGAAGACGGCTGCGAAGAGAATTGTCTTGGCCAGCAAAAAAGGCATATCAAAGATTGTGAGCGTCTGCAACAAAACCGACAGCGCGCGACAAATGGTCACTATACCTTGTCTATTGGTACGAAGGAATATGCAATCGACGAAACGATTAAGGCCAACCCCACGACCAAGACGACGTTCTCGTCTTGCTTCTACTCTTGCTCCTCCCTCTCCTGATGCCCTTTCACTTCTTACCTTTTTTGCTGCTGGTCCTACCTTGCCAACCCTACAGCACCTGAACCATTCTACACAGTAAGGTACCTCCTACCTACACCTGCAGGCTGCACCAGATGGGAATGGGATAGGAATCTGCTGTCACCCCCTCCTACCAAACACCTACTGTGTAGGTAGGTACCAAAACAGACACACACGCCCCTCCCCCATGGCTCTCGCTCTCTGTCTCTCTTTCTCTCTCTCATCATCGCTCTGCTTCCGCCCTCCCTCCCTCTGCCCCCCCCCCCTCCTTTCACCCGTCTCTGGATCTCTGTATGTACTGTGTGTGAGCTCCAGGTTCTTTCTAGTTTCCGTACATGCACCCCCTGCTCCCACCACACATTCAGAGTGTGGATGGCGCAAAGTGGAGCCGAGCGGGAATGGCACAGCGGACGGATCATGTCGCACCGCCCAATGGGTGACTTTATCGTGGGCGGGAGTATCCCCTCCCTTCCCCTTAGGTCCCCTTCGTCTACCTAGGGGCCGCGGTCTTGTTCCAACACCGCCGGCGCCTCCTCCAGCTGGGGAGCTGCCTGCCTTTAGCTCCCCGTTGCCAGGTACGTACTGACAGCCCGTAGTATTGTCGGTAGAATGATCAACTTGGAAGCACCACCTACGCCGTAGTGTGTAGGTACGGATATGATACCCTGCCATCGTCCACCGCCTTGGAAAGCCCACACCATGCCATCTATTCGCAGAAATTGAAATGCTAGTAGACAAAAAGAGAGAGGAGGAGAAGGAAAGGGGAAAAAAGAAAAAGAAAAACGCAAGGACCCGAAAACTGGAGGGCAGAAGCTGATCTGCCAGCTACTTACCACCGTCACCACCACCCCTCCTCCCAAAGTCAAAAAGTCAAGATACCAAGTGCAAGACAAGACAAGACGACAGGTACCGCCGGCGGGTTGGAAAGAAAACGGCCGGGCATTAGGCCCTTTTCCCTCTCCCTTCTCGCCTGCCGACAACAAGCCAACCCATCGAGGTAACGTCAGCTACACAACACCGGCTTGACTCGACACTAGTGTGCAGCTAGGTATCTAGACTTGGACCAGTCCAGCTGTGCCCCCCTCGGCGTTGGCCAACCAGACCAAGATTTCGAGACTCGGCTTCTGTTCTACTCTAGGCTCTTTGCTCGCTTCACCTGTATCTGTTTCAGTATCTATCCCGTCCGAGGGCGAAATTATCACTTTTTTTTTTTTTTTTCAGACGTACGAACGGCACGTTACGACGCGGGAGGCAAACAAAACGGCCCGAGAAGAAATTTCTTGGTTCCTTCTGAACCCAGCTGCAGTGTCCCAAGGGATGGGTGCTCTGCCC